CTCTGATTAATCATTGGCACTAATGGTTTGTGATCTGTCAAGAGCTTAAAAGTTGAAAGTCCCATCAGGTAACGTGATAATCTCACATGTCCACACTGCTGCCAGGCACTCCTTCTCAATTTGCGCATATTTGACCTCAGTCTCTGTAAGTGTTCTTGAACAAAACACAACTGGGCGGAGTTGGTTGCCATGACCTTGCATTAGAACCTCACCGATGCCATAACTACTGGCATCTGTGCAAACAACCGTAGGCGTCTTAGGATCATAAAATGTCAGCAATAAAATGCCAAATCATCTGCTTGACGTTAGCAAATGCCTCTTGCTGAGATGGTCCCCAAGTCCAAGCTCTATCGGACAGTGACAGATCGGTCATTGGTTGCATTACTGTAGCAAGGTTCTGTACGAACCTTCCCAAGTAGTTTATCATACCAATAACTCTGCGAAGTTCTGGGCCACTCGTTGGTGCTTGAAGCTCTGTAATCGTTTTCACATTTTTAGGGCCTGGACTTAGTCCACCTGCACTGTCCAAAGTAGGTTAGACTGTCCTTCTTGATCTCACATTTCGCTTTGTTCAATTTCAGTCCTGACTCCTTAATGACTTGTAATGTTCTATTTAAGTTCTCATCGTGCTCCTCGGCTGACCTTCTTCATTCTTTAGCATATCCGTCATTAGACACTGGAAAATTTCTGGGACACTCGTGATTTCAAATGGTAGCCATTTAAAACGGAATCGCCCCACTGGATGATAAACGTGGTCAACCTAGCACTTTCTGGAAGTAGGGGTATTTGCCAGAATCCACATGTTGCATCAAGCTTGGAAAATTACTAAGCACCAGCGAGCTTTGGGGCAACATCTTCCAAGGTAGGCAATACGAATCTTGCACGCTTCACAGCACTATTCAGCTTTCTCAGATCGACACAGATCCTGAGCTTCCTATTACTTTTCTGTACTGGTACCATGGGTGCACACCATTCTGTTGGCCCGGTGACTCTTTCAATGATGCCGGCTTCTTCCATCCACTTAAGCTCTTACAGTTAAGAGGTTCTAATGCAAGGTAATTAATTTTTGGCCATCAGATTTCAAAGTCGATTTGCAAATTCGTGGGGTTTTCCAAACAGCCGCATACTAAAAGTAAGGCAGAATTTCATTACGAATATGCGACCCTTGTTTGAGGTTAACAATGCTTGAACCGTTGTTTACTCGACCTTACGGCCAGAAAATTGCGAAGCGTTGTGCTCAAAATTTTGAAAGTGGTTACATTTAAAGCAAAATATTGTATCCACAACACTTCTAGGACAAATCAACAACTAAAAATTAATATTCACCGGGCAAAAGAATGCTCGAAAATTTGGGAAGTTCCATTTTTGTCGGAAAATTCAGTTTTCATTTTCCATCCATAATTCGAATCCTGTTTGGGAATCGTAGTATTGCTCACTCGAGAGCTCGTACTGTCCCCTTTCAGGTTTAAAAGACCATTGCGTTTCAAATACTTACGTCATTAAACTTCTGGGTGTGTAACAGAATCTGGTATGCTTTGGTTATGCTGGTCTAATTTTGCTGTACACATTTTGCTATGATTTTCTCTGTAACAGTTTCTCGTTCTGCTTTTATTACTGAGTGCTATGTGGTGGGTATCATGAGTACATGTCTTTAATAGTCGAATTTTACCTTAACCCAGTTAAACCAGTATCAAGTACAGTTGCCACTTCATCCCAAACAACTCCGACAGGTAAATGATTTCCGTTTTCTTTTTCAATCAATTTTTAAAACTATTTTATCAAAAATAGTTTTAACTGTTCTCTGATCGGTTTCAAAGCACACAGGAGGCAGCTCGAGTACGAAAGAAATGTAGAGGGAAACACGAGACGCAGCCGATTGTTTCTCTTTACCTTTTGAATTTTAACAGTCATGCCAGTTCAGTTTTATCATTCATCATTCCTGTTTTTTTCTGTTTTGTTTTTGGACACGAAATAATGCATACTTTACGAGTGTTAGCTGTGTTTGATTTTTTTGGCATGTTTATAAACCTTTGTTTGGTTCTTCAGTTGATACTTGTCGGCTCACTTGTTCCGAAATTTTCTCTTTTGATTAAAAAAAAAAAAGTTAGAGAGAAGTCCAGGCAATAGTCGAACAATGTACTAACTGGCAGATGGCGTGACAACTACAGCTCAGTTCCGTATTTTGCACTCTGATAAAACACGCCCTCTCAACTAGTGACAGCGCACGCTATGTCCGAACTTTGTTCTAAATCATGGGGATATGAAACACTTGGGAAGTTTGGAAAGAACGAGAGAAGCGTAAGAGTAAGAGCAAAACCCTAGTTTCTCGAGTGCTCTCATAACTTCCCAAATGCTTCACATCCTTATGAATGAATCGCTGTCGTATGAACCAGTTCTTTTATAACATTGCCAACGCAATATTGTGTGGGTTGTTTTCTCACAATCGGGAAATTTTTTGAGGGAGACAGCGCCCAGCAAATCTTAAGTAATTCTTTCTATAAACAATACAAGCTCTGGTGAAATCAGTTAAAAAAATTATACCCAAACTTTAACAAAAAGACAGTTGTTGTCATAATGTACTCAGAAATCATAATATTAGATGAATTTGGCTATGCTTGTGGTCGATGAGATAAAAAAAATCGTTTTGCACATTCGTCGGCTTCACCAAATAACCGCGTACCACACGTTAAGGCAAAAAAGGCATAGAAATATTTCGAGACAATAGCTCTATTCAAATTTATAACAAAGATGCTGTTTAGGACCGGTACGTATATGCGACCCGCGTTAAAGATCCATAATGCTTGAATTGTGATTTACTCGACTTCACGGCCAGAAAATTTCGAAGCGTTGTGTTCGAAAGCTGTCAGATCTAAAGCAAAATCTTGTATTTCTCAATACTTCAAGGACATATCAACACTTTAAAACAATATTCACCTAGCAAAAGAATGCTAGGAAATTTCGAAAGTTCTATTTTTGTCAGAAAATACATATTTCATTTCCCATCCTTAATTCGAATGGTGTTTGGAAATCGTAGCATTGCTTACTCGAGAGCTCTTTCCATCGCTTTTAAGGCTCAAAAGAAAATCACTTTTCAACTCGAGTATCCTTCCAGCATTGATTTACTTTTCATTAGAGCTCCTAAAGGCCTGTCTCAATCGGATGGAGCGGAAGAAAGATCTTGAAAAACTCAAAATTCGCGGCTAATCTGGTCTTGAAGTTCGATGTCAATTGCGGAGTGATTAGGGTGCACGCTATGAAGTACGCTTTCACTATTAAATTTGGGTACCTGGATCTGTTTGCTAATATAAGTTAAGTTTTCGCTCGAGCATAGCATAGCATATCCTGTTTGGGAGACTTTTGCTGGGGTTTTTCGACAATGTTCAAGCTGAATTATTGTTGGATGGAACTACTTCTCAAAAGTTTTTCTGAATCAAGGCTCTTCGTGCTTCTAATATTATAAACGGAATCGACTCTTCTTTAGCTTCTGAAGGCACAGAAGTTTACCTGACGGCGACAATAGACGAGAGCTGTAGCAGACGTTCAGAAATTGCTGCAAAATTCCCAGAGATGGTGAGATAATCATCCTTATCCATATACTGGAATTTATGGAATACTCCCATAAGATTTATAATGAAAATTGAGTCTGAATCACTATGAAGGAAATCATAATTTTTCTGCTAAAAAGATGACACTTCAGTAATGCAACAGGCATTGAATGTAAATTTTTTTCTTTACATGTCCTTTTAGGCTTGTCGAATTGCCTTTAGGTTTGGGTGCTCATCTGCCAACACTGTGAACACAAGGTAAGGTACAGTTTCTTTCTTAAATTGAACCAACAAGAGCTATCGCAAATTTGTGTTCTGGGAGAAAACTGAGCTCAAATTGGCAAATTTCAGCATTTAAACTGGTTCTCCTGTTCTAAAAAGTCTTAGTTACTGCAAAATAGTCGACATTTGACGAACATTTTTTATAATGAACAGCAAATCAGTTTTATTTAGTTTTGTTTATTTCATAAAAATTACTTCTTAGGTTCAATCTAAATGTATTTTAGCACCTAAAAGTCTCTAAAGTACAAATATGTGAAATGTGTAATAGTACTCTCTCCCCCACCCCCTTACCTAGGTGTGGCAGTGTTATTATTGACTTCATGATGAGGTTCAATCAAAGTGTAGTCGTCAGCAATGTTTTGACTCTCCTGTCCGATGCTGCAAGGCAAGAGCAATTTGGAGGTTTTAAAGTCAATCCAGACTCAATTGAACTAGTTTTAATGCCTACAGACGGCTCAGAAAGCACAGCAAAAGGTAAAAATTCCAAAGAAATTGTTTATACGTACTCTTTCGAAAATGAGCTTTTTCTAATTGCATTCGGTATCTGTTTTATTAAACAACTAATTTCTGTGAGGGATTTACTTTTGGGTTGTTTATTTTTGCTGTTGCCTTTGTTCAATTTAAACAAAATCTTGTTTTTAGATTTTTTTATGGATGTAGTAGCACCTTACTTTTTCCTAGTACCTAGCAAATCAGAGGTAACTTTTTTTTTCGGTCACAAGCCCAAGCCAGGTATTGAGAGTAGTATATAGACCAGGTCCAGAGTAAATGTTGTGTGGATGTTACTTCATTAAGCTTATATAACGAATCATTTTAGGTCCTGAAGAATGTAACTGCCCATCTAACAACGTCTTATTGGCCATAATTGGGGTTCTTGCCTTCACAATCCTTCTTCTAATAATTTACATAATCTGGCTACACAGGAAAGGTAGGTAAAAAATTAATAATCTATGTTAGAGGGTTTGGCTGCAAGATTCATTTTTATACAAAAGCAAATTTTGACTCATATCCACATCATTTTCTTTTTTTCCTTTCCTTCTTTTTCAGACACTGGAGGGAAACAGAGGTAAGAATTTGCTGCCACTTGGATTTTGTCGATGTAATTTACCAGATATGGTATCACCTTAACACAAAATTCCACTTAGAGCTGATGAAATTCTCAGCTTTTTATAGGTATTCACATGCTTTTTTAATCGTAGGACTTGCGAAGATGAAAGAGGTGTTTACGACGTAAGTAATAGCTAAGACATTGAGGTCATGTTAATGGGGCCAGAAATTATGTCATCTCACTTTACCTTTACTTTCTATAAGAGAATAAACGCTTGCAGCAAATAAGAAGGGAAAAAGGTGTAGTCCTAAAAGGAAAAAGCATATTGCATCAATGGCAGATACAATGAAATAGAGGAGGAAGTTAGGCTCGATAAAGTCTTTTTCCTGGGATCATGTCCTTTACCAAGATACTCCATGAATTTTCCTTTGATTGTCCCTGGTTTAACTGCGTGGCTTCACTTCATAAATCGCTAACTGGTCTGCACCCGGTTGATATTTGCTTTCTAAATAATTGTTTTCGCGCATCTTTGGCCGTCTTATTTTCTTGATGCCTTATTTTCTAAACGTTAGTATAAGAGCTGAGTACAGAAAGAGTCTTTTCTTGTTCGTATTTGTCAAAAAATTGCACTTCCAATTGACAATCTTCCTGATGCAGTTTATCGCCTGGACGAATATGCTTTATAACATAGCTAGTAAATTTGTCTAATCAAATTCAATTGCGCAAGCGTGCTTCATATTCCTATTGTGCACGCTCATGACATCAGCAAACAAATCCCTCGAGAAAAAGATTTTCCATCGGTTTGAAAATGTTATAAAACAATTGGTTCATACGTCAGCTGTGCGTTCATCGAGATATGAAGCACTTGGGATGAACGCACGCTGACGTATGAACCAATTGTTAAATGAACCTCAATCAGTTTACTGGACATGATTGTTTCAAAAGCAGAGAACAAAATTTTATTAACAATAAGGACAGTAGTGATTATAAACTATTTGTAATCTCTTGTTATGGAAGAATATAAATGTTTGGTTGATAAAAATGGGTAAACTGACTTTTTATAACCTTGTGGGGCTTTTTACTGGGATTAATAACAGATTTGTATATAAATACCTTAACGGTATGTTGGTTTAATAGAATGAAACCAGATAAGAGAGTGTTGCGGTTTGTAGCTTGCTATGAAACTCGACATGAAATTAGACATGAAAGTTTCAATAGCAGCGAACACTTTGTTAGTTATTCTTAGTAATGATAAAGAACAAAAGATTATTAACTGTTTTTAACTCTTTTCAAGGCAGAAGATAGTCGTCAGTCTGATGAATATGGTTAAACTGATTTTATGGCTATGTGACTACTTTAATGGGTATGTTTGTTTAATAGAATGAACTAGAATTGGGAGATATCGAACCAAGTCAGCCCGATTCAGAAAACCTCAGACAGCCGTCTACAGAATACATGGATCTCATAGTCAGTGAAGATAATAGAAAAGCACAAACTGCTGGTTCAGGTGCCGATTACGCGCCTCTACATCCATTAACACGCTCCTGGGAAGTTCCAAGACGTCACGTGAACATAGAAAAAATCATTGGTAAAGGTGCATTTGGTCAGGTTGCTAAGGGAACAGCAGTAGGACTTCGAGGGAGTCCTGAAACGACCACAGTGGCTATAAAGATGCTTAAAAGTGAGCTCTTGTACTATAAATTGAATGACAGTTTAAGCCTGCAGTCATTCAGGAAATGCTATCGGGTTATCGTAAATTTTTAGCTATTTGCCATTTCATTGCTTATGTTGTTATTTCGAAATTTCGCATATCATTCCCGTTAACCAAATTTTACCCCTTGTCTTTAACGCTCCAGCAAACGCTGCTGAATCGGACAAGAGAGATTTGATGAAAGAACTTGACACAATGAAGCAGCTGAAACCACATCCTTACGTCATCAAACTTCTGGGATGTGTTACAGAATCTGGTATGCTTTGGTTATGCGGGTCTAATTTTGTTGTACATATTTTGCTTATGATTTACTCTGTAACGCTTTCTCGTCATTGATAATTTGCTTTAATGGAAAAGTCAGTGCTTCACAATTGAACACATCAAAAAACCATCGCATAAGGTAATTTATCTTTTTTTCTCAACATAGACGCTTTTGGATTTACTGATAGACTAAGACCGAATATTTGCTGCTGAACAGGCCATTCTGTTGCATAAGCAGAAACACTTGTTGTAAGGGAATATTTGATCCGTACCGTCTTATGAGACCGTTACATAATTTTTCAGCTTTCTTAGTAAAACCACATCTTTTGTTTTTCGTGAGTATTGACCACGACTGGGCTATTTATTTTATTTATTTATTTATTGCCATTTTTTAAGAGAGTAATATATCATTTCAATTGTTTAATTTCTTCAGAGCCGCTGTTGGTTTTGATTGAATATGTGCCTTTTGGGGATCTGCTGGGTTACCTTAGAAAGAGCCGTGGATTAAAAGACACTTACTATAAAGACCCGGATATCAAACCGCAAACAAATCTGACGTCACAGCAGCTGATGAAATTTGCTTGGCAAATTGCCGATGGAATGAGTTACTTGTCTTCAAAATTTGTGAGTTGAAAGAAAAAAAAGAAACAAAGAAACAAAAAACATTCAAAATTTAATTATGGTGTATCATTGTGAGGCGCACCGTCTTGGTACAATGTCATCTCTTTAAATGCTTATGCCTGAGAGGTGTGAACGTATTTATACCATCTGTTTATGGGTTTGTCCTACAGGGATCCCATCCATTTCCAACGTTATCATCTATTATTTTTCTTTCTTTTTAAGTTACGTTCGGCAGGTTACCTTATCCGCGACTTAAACTGTTTTCATTTCCTCTCATATCATTTTTCGGTTGTTGATTTTCGTTTAATATTTCAAAGATTTCTTCTGTGTAGACATAAACAGGGACGTGAAGCTTAATTTAGTAATGTTCACCATAAACAGAACCCATACCAATTTAGTACCAAAATAGAAGAGGAATGGGTTCCACACATCGGAATTCTGTCAACATCTTAGTGAGACCGTTCAGATGAAAGAACTTGATTTCCCCGCAACCTAAATTTGTTACCACCGAGAAAATTAGGAACACGCATGCCATTATGTTTGTTAGATATTTCCATTTTACTATCTGAACCTTTTTCCAGTTCTTTTTCCCATGTTTACTTATTTTCACTTCTCCATTGTAACTTCTTTTCTAGATCATCCACCGAGACCTTGCAGCCCGTAATGTGTTGGTAGGACAAAATGAAACATGTAAAGTAACAGATTTTGGGATGGCCAGAGATGTGCAGCAGGAAAATATTTATGAACGAAAAACAAAGGTTATACGAAGATAGGGGGGTATTCGGTTACATAAGTTCGGTATAATCACTCTCCACAATCCTCGTAGTGGTGAAATTGGCGTATTTATGGTTTCCGTCAGAAATTCTCAATACACCTACGAGTATAACATCAACTTCTGCTGAAATCTTTAGGGTCGTCTTCCAGTGAAGTGGACAGCTTATGAAGCGTTGTTGTATGGTAAATATACTACCAAAAGTGACGTGTAAGTACATCTCATTAATTCCTTTAGCAATGAATTCTCTTTATTCTTTTCCAAGAAGTCCAACTATTGGTTAGGCATTTTATGATTTATCAAAAGGAAAAAAATCCTAGCTGTCTCGCATTATTTTAATGTCTTCAATCATCTGCCTTACGCATGTTTGCTTCGCCTTTTCGCAGATGGAGCTATGGAGTTGTCCTTTACGAGATTTTCACCATAGGTAACGTCTTGTAGAATTTGTCGACGCTTGGATGTTGGTTTAATTATGAATCGTTTTGTTAAAGTATTCCAAGTTTGTAAAATTAGTCAATGCAAATCTATTGAGGTGGACAATGGAGTTGATCTTTTCCAGGCAATTCAATTCTTTGCCAAATGAAACAGGAGGTACAGCATCAAAGTTGGTTCTTATGAACGGTATGATTCCTAAGTAATTCTTTTTCAGGCGGTTCGCCTTATCCAATGATGGATGGAAGAAAAATTGCAAACTTACTTCAACAAGGATACAGAATGCCTAAACCACAACACGTGGATGATAAGTTGTAAGCTTGCTTTCCTGTTTTCTGTTTAATCCGTACCCCGTACTACCAGAATCCTGTTCAGCTATCCCCCATAAAATGGTGGTCTTAATAAAGGTATATTAATTTTAGGTACCAGATCATGACGAGCTGCTGGCAAAATGACCCGGATGCGAGACCAACATTCATTGATTTAAGAAATCAGCTGAAAGACATTGAAACCCTGCACAAGGTGAGACTTGTGATGAACATAACAGCCTATGACGTTCCTTTCATATAGAAGAGAATGAAAACTTAGATGCGTGCACTCTCCAAATTGACAATCATTTATTGAGATGTCCGAGGAGCACGCATTAAATTCTAATTTTTGCTATAATACTGGCTCATTTTCTGTTGTGTCACCGATGTTCAACGACAGGAATTGTTCGGTTGACAATTGTTTATGCTGGTTGAATAAAAAAGGATTAGATGATTGTAAAAAAATTACTGTGAAGTTGAAGTGAAACAGCATATCAAATACTGTAGAGCTGTCAATAGTATACTTTCCGAGCTTCTATTATTATGAGCTTATTTTGAGTACTCCTCATGACGTAAACGTGGAAACCATCCAGTTTCACATTTTTCCCACATTTTCTTTTCTACGCAGAGGCTGATCAACATGAAAATGTACGACAAGCAGTTGTATGCAAACGTCGAGGATTTACTAGTGTAGTCGAGCATATGTCTTCATTGTTTAATTGACTGTTAGAATGCCTTGTCACAATTGTTTAAGGGATTATTCTCTATGCGCAAAAAGCTTGCAAGGTTGTAGAGGTCAATTTGTATTTGTAATTTTGGTTCAAAGCCTATTCATTTTCAATAACTTCCATTTGAAGTAAAATATCATCATAAGTAGCGCTTTCCCAGTCATTATATACTCTTTCTTTATTCCTTAACATATGAAGTACAGTAGACATGCTCGCTTTAAAATATTGCGCCTCAGGTTCCCTACCCAGCTCCATTCTTAAATGTAAGCAACCTTAGTGAAATTAATCCACACGCCTTTATATCTATGTACTGTAATTATACCTTTTCAAAAAAGAATCCCATTAATTTAGATTGAGGGGATCCCGCTCTGAACGCCACGGTTGTGCGAACAAATAATAACAAAAAACAACTGACTGAGTACTTTCATGCCATATAAAGCCAGCAGTTTACAAAGTATAAGTTATACTATGCGGTTTGATTTTGAAAAATATTCTTTGCCCGTTTCTTCTGTAATAAAGTAAACAAAGAGCTTGATGGTTATAACTATACCGATATTTATACTCAATCACACTAGTCTTACAGCCGTACTTATTTTTCAGAGCAAATTTTAAAACGGTAGTTTCATACATGTTGTTTTTAATAAAAGTGTTGAAATACATATTGTGATCTTATGATCATTGTCACTGATCTTAATATTTAAGAATATGGTAGACTTTTGCGGGTGTCGTTCGCGAAAAAATCGCGAAAAAAAATACTGTTAAAGACTAATTAAAGCGTAACCACCATAAACTATAAATGAATGGCAAAGTTATGAGATGCACTATCCGGAAAAAAAATTTTCCCTTAAGCGTGATCTAATCGTAAACCGACTGAGGTGCAAAATTTCCAATCAGACGATGTTCCTTCGAGGAAATGGGTATCAACATCGACCGCCCAAGTAAATTTCTGCACAATTTAATCCTGAGGGGTTGGTCTTCAAAATTGTGCGGGGATTTTTCGATATTGCCATTTGTTGCTTTTCAATTTTCCTGCATAGTTTGCTTTTCAAGTTTTTACCGATTTCGAAAAACGGAATTCCCTCCCACAGTTTGACATTTCAGGAATATTCTGACCAAATTTCAAGGCAAATCGTAGTTTTCATACCTTAGTAATTTGTTCAAAGAAGGCACGTTTGCGGAAAAAAGAAGCAGGTTTTTTTGTATCCAAAGCTTTGGATGCGTAACCACGAGTTGAGTGTTGTCGGGTCGTTGGAGGGGTAGGTACTCAGTTGTTCACATAATTTCCTGGTTATACCCAAGCAATAATAATGTAAGAAGCAGAAATGGAACAAGTACTTGCCAAACTCGAGTGTGAAATAAATAGCAATACCCAAATCACAAGAGATATATAAGAAATTAACTCAAATTTTCTCGTCATCATTAACACTTAAATTAGTTTTAAATACAATTGTTCATCTAAGCCGCAGAGATTGTCTTTTGTCTACCATACGCCTTCGATTTGCAAGAATACTCAAAATTCTTAGTGATATGCATTTTTTTACTTGTTTGAGATCCCCAGTCCTCGATAATTGCAAACAACAATATCGTTCATGACATCGCAGCGGCGGTGTATCTAAATTTTGTTTACGAGCGAAGCAACTGAGCCAATTCCTCTGGTTGATCGTCAGTCCTGACTGGTGTTATTCAACATAGGTCAGTCATTTACATTTCCGTTCGCTGGTGCGGACTCTATAATACCTTCTTTTCTGTATTTTACTCCAAACAAGTTAGCATAATGATTTATTTCTACTTGAACGTCTTTGGAAGCAAGGACAGCAATCTATCGCTTCATAAAAAGCAGCTTCCCATCATTGCCGCATGCAGCGGCTTTGGTTGGATGTTTTTCATGCATTGACAGGCAGTTTACAATTGAAAACTTTAAAGTTAAAAAGAAAATACCAATAGTAAATTTATCGCTGTTAGCGCTCTATTTCCAGCCCGATTGATTCCTTCCACACTTTCCGTGTGGAGTTTACTTCTTTCCTCTCAGCCAATCAGGAAAATTGAATTAATCCATTCTCCCAGAGGTCATTATTTGGCCATCATACCGCTGAAAAGAGGCCAAAATGACCCCAGACTCGAGATTGGCTAAATTGTGTCTGATATTAATGATTTACCAGCAGTCGAGCGACGTCATCGAGTTAGGCATGAGCATTATTACACACCTTACATGTTGAGAATACAGTGTATCGGGTACATCGAGGAATTTTTCGGTAATTTTTTCAATGGCTGTTTCCTTCACATTTGCGTCGTTCATATTTATCATGGTCAGCAAGAGTATCAGCTTGCCACTGTAGATACCAGGGCTTGCAGTGGGATCTTGGAAGAGTTAGGAAATGCTGCTGGCTAGAGTTACAGCTTGCATATTTAGTCAACTTAACCCCCATGTTAGTCTAACATTATATTCGAATCACCGTTCGCAGGAATATTTCTATGCTCTTTGCACTTGTCCCTCTGGCTAGTGGCATCTTAGATGACTCGGAGAATATAACCATGCAGCCAGAGAGACAGCTTGTATATAATGTGAAATAGGTTTGACTTAATTTAATGATTTATGGAGAACTTTTGAACATCTCGCTCTGATGTTACACAATCTTATTGTTATACTTGTTTCCGCGGGAACTTAATTTCGCAAGAATGGAACAGGTACATATTTCGCGGGATTTACCCAAAAGTGTATATTAAAAGGAATTAAATTTCGCGAAAATTGTCACAATACTGATCTGTATCAACAAACAGTCTCAGAATTGGCCATCATCTGAGACCCAGGAAGTTCGAGTCGATTTCAAGGAGAGCTTCCTGCTCTCCCGTTCTGACTTGAAATCGACCCACAGCCCCTGAGTCTCCGAGGATGAGAATTGGCACGACTACTTTTAATTTTCCATAGCAGTAGTTTCTAACAATGAACAGAATCATATTTTGATAAAATAGAAAATGAAGACCGTTTCATATGTTTCTTTACAAGGGTCTAGGTAGGAATGGATTGTTGAGTGAGACAAAGAGAACTCGCCCGTTGAAACTAATATAGAGGACATGGACAGAATAATTGCGTAATAAACTGACGTCTACGTTGATGAACGTACTAGAATGCGTATTATTAAACTTCGCGTAGTACTTTTCGCGAAACTTCGCCTCTTGGTTAGCATAGGTGGTTGAGTCTTGGTTTTCGTGCAGGAGTTGGAGGGTTTAGACTTCGACCGGATACACGCTCAGGGTCTTTAAACAACAGAGGAGAATGTGCTGCCTTTGCCATGGCATCTGCAAACGGTTGGCTGTTCTAGTCCTCTCGAATAAGGACAATAGACCACACCCCCTGTCTCCTGCGTCTTCTGTGTACTGGTTTAAGAAGGGGACGTAAGAGAACCCACCCACTTCTCGCAGAGAAAAAGGGACGTAGCTCCCGTTGTTGTGGTCTGACCTTTTCATTGCTTATGAATCTTTGAAGATCCTCCATAAGTATTTTCTATAAAGGAAGGTGGCACAGCAAAGGAAGAGGAAGAAGAAGAAACATTTTCTGAAGGTGACCCCATCCGGTGGAACGTCAGAATGACGGAACATCCTCAGCTAAAATATGGAATGGCGGAATTTCCAACAATACGGAATGACGGAATATCCTAACACGCGGAACGCGGAGCACGAATTAAGCAGCAATTTTGGGTAAAAGATTTCCATTCTAACTTGAATAATTGCAGAAGAAAAAATGACGATATATACGATGTTTCAACAGCGAGGACAACCCCTCTCCATAGATTATATGGAATGTCATGAAATAAGCATTTACAACGTCAATCAGTGCCAAGGGAGTTGTGGGTAGCTACAAGCGCTATCACGTTATCTTCGTGTTGTCACGGGAGAGGAAATTATAACGAAGAGACTTTGGATATAAATATCAACACTCAGTCCTTCCAAGGTAAGTAGGCACCTGTTGCGCTAAATAAGCCGGAATGAGATTTGGTTTCATCTCATATTTGGTCACATTTCTAAGCGTCATTCACTTCTCAGGTAGGTCATTGTCGTACAGATTAAGTAGGTTACTGTAGACATTGGATTCATTGGATCGGACATACTAGCGAAACTGTGGTACAAGAGTATAACAGTGTATTTTAGTGTTATCAGCTGAGTTTATAACATAAATTGGCCACCGTAAAGAGTTTCAAAGCTGACGTGTCGAGCGTTAGCGCTTACTCAGCGCCTTACCTATTCACTCTGACTCTGACGCTCGAAATGTCAGCTTTAAAGCTCTTACGGTGGCCAAATTACGTTATCATCTCAGTTGATAATAGTGAACTACCAGGACACACTGGCAGCTTAGTCCTCAATTATACCAAATTGTAAGACCACAGGAATTATACATGAATATATCACCCTTATGCACATTGTTTAGCCATCGGTCTTGTTTACAGAGCCAAACAAGCTAATAAGAGTTAGCATCATATTTAACAAACGGTTAACAACCCGCTGAACACTGAAACCAACTTAACCTCGCCCGGAACGCTTTATGGGTGACCTTGCTTCTTTTGCGGATGTAAACCGTCACAATAAAGTTAGTCTAGCCTCTTAATTACCTACTCGGAAGTTCTTATTTTGGTCTATACAGTCAAATATTGATTCGGCTGATCGAAAACATTAACTACGAGGTTTTTGTCATTTGTGAGATTCTAACAATAGTGTTAGGTTAGTAGGTTGCGAACCTCGTCGTCGTGCATTTCGTTGTCGAAGCTTAAAGTCCCTAATATCTCGACGTATACGCCCGAAAGCTACGTTTTGTTTAAAAAATTACATCTAAAAGGGAATTTGCTTGTTTTAGAACCATATTAAGAGTCACTCTCCCTAACCACCGCGTGAGGGGCGGCACAAGGTCGGAAAAATGGGCCCCTTGATATTTTGTCCAGAGATAACCTATAGTATGCTAAGGATCGTGATATAAGTCTTCGGTTCTAGAGTTTTAACATTTTTGACAAAATTACGAAAAACCGTCGACTACCCGTGAAGCCGAAAAAACAGAAATGAGGTCAAATTTCATGATCACATAATCGAACTCGCGTGAAGGCGTGAATGGTTTTCCTTAGTTTACAGTTTTATTTAGGAGGTATTGCTAAGCTACCTTGATGATATTTTAGACTTACAATAGTAATTCCGAATTCCTGGAGAGCAAGCGAAGAGAACCAAAATTTCTAGACTCTGAAAATCAAAAATTCCATACCGTTTTCAAACAT